GCACCCAGAGCCAGACCAAACAAGAAGAGGAACAGCAGCATGTTGGTCTCAGAGTCTCCGTCTATAACGTGATGTGAACTGTTGCACGTTATCAAGAATCTTGCAGAGACAGTTGAAAGGCCACTTTCTTTTATATGCTTCAGAGAGGGTGTCTGCAATGTTGGTGTGATATCAGTGGTCAAATGCACTTGGCAACATAAGCCAACAAAAACACATAAAACATTATTGTTATCATACAATCCTTACTAATCATTGATAGAGTAATATGACAAAGTACCCTGTGACGTGAGTCATATTCTGCCTGACCTTGAAAGAGATATGAAGCATTAACTTGTCTCATTTAGAATAGGATTTATTTTTGCTTAAAGTTCCCTCAGTGACACAAGAGTGCATCCTCTCCACTCAAGCAGATGCTCTCTTCCATTTCAACAGCGCTGAACCCAAACACAGTATAGGTGAGTCTACTACGACAGGCCCGTTTGGAAATATTATACCTCCTCCGTCTTTTAGCAGCTGTGAGGTTTATATAACAATTCAGGGTTGTTTCCTTTATCATATGAACTTTCAGAAATATTTCCACTATTTCTTTATGTTTTCTTTGAGATGTACATCACGTTGGACAGACCTGTCTGGGTAATACATTACATTTTATACATTTTTTCACCCATCCATGAAATGGGCAGATCAATTAATCTAATAAGACTTTCTTGACATCTTTAAGTATTCTGTATAGATTGAGCCTTTATAGCTTTCTAATATTACAGTTATCCATAAGTACAAAAATCCAGAGGTACAGTAGACCAAGACAAATGAAGTCAGGATAGTTCAATATATTCTCGCCATATCCAATTATATATATCGATATTCAATCATCACAGCCATTTATTGTCAGAATCAATGTGACATCCTGACAAGGAACCAAAGAACTGACTAATTGACATTAGTGCTGGTCTAGATTCATGAGGACAGTAATAAACAGTGAGACATCTGCATTAAACTCAGTTTTTTATAGAATAGATCTTATTTGGGTTCCTGCTGTGGCTCCTAATGGATTCAGTAAGCAGTTCAATAACTAGCATGAAAATCAGAAGGGATCCAGCGTCTCACTGACGGGTTGATCTCCCCAACAAGAACTGTGACGATCATATTTTTTTCTGATCTGGACATCACAGGGGCATTAGAATTGTAGCATCCATTTATGCACAAGGACCAGATGCACTGTGTTTAGTGTTTGTAGCGAACCGCTAATTAACGCCTGTCCACAAGTGCCATTAATGAGTACGCTGGCTTTGGGTTGATAAAATATCAGCTTAATCCAGCTAATAAAACCCTCCCCAAGACCATCAGTACTACTGATCAAAGAGCTTCTCAGCATCAAGTAAAATGATCAGACCTTGCACTTTATACATGTTTATGTTGAATGCCACCCAAGTTTCTCTGTGAGGGGTCTGATCTGCTACACATGATCATTGACCAGACGTCAATGATGTAGAATTATCATCTATTCAAACAAAAATAAAGTCCAATGAGAAATGCATGAGTAGTGTTTGGATAAATATGAACCTGAACTCCAAAATGAAAACAAAGAAATAAAAGACAAGCAATAAATAGTCACTCAATAGTTGTTGAACTCTGCACCTTCAGGAGAGCAGTTTGTATTTATATAGATTTATGGAATTATAACAAATGCTTATAAATATTATCCTAGTATCAAACAATGGGCCGGAGATAAAACAGAAACTTTATAGACTATCCCTCCATGACACAGGCACTTAGCGCAACGGGCAAGTGATTGATCATAGATCCATAAAGCAGTTGTCATTCCCTTATGTTTGCCCTGAGATTTAGTTTTGGAAAAAGCTCTAAACTCTCTTGATACCACCAATACGTTCACCATCAAACAATCCCTTGTGTTCATGATTAGAGTTATAAGGAACTGTTGTATCCATATTGTTAACAGTTAGATTCTTATTTTGCTAAATCTATATTTTCTTTGGCTAAATAAGGAAAAAAAAATATTCAAAATGTTTATAAATATTTCCTTTTACCCACAATTTAATTGACCTGTGTTAGTGTCAAACATTCATGAAAATGAAGATTAATGAAATTACTTCTGTGCACACTTTTGTATCTTTATTGTTCAGGCTGAATGCATAACAACAGAGCAACAGGTGGAAAGTCACAGAGTTCAATCAGACTTAACCTTTTTAGTTTCTAAGGACAAATTGTGCGAGATGCACAAACAAAATGTAATTTATGAGAACATGGTATATCATTCCATCTCAATTTTGGGTCAAAGTTTGTGTGAACACAGTGCTTACGTCCTTCAACGTTGTTTGGTTCTCCTCTATGCCAAAAGAAAAAGTTGGCTGAAGACCCATCAGACCACAGCCATGCTCCTTCTTTGTGGATGTCACTGAGTCCGATCCAGGTCTGTCCCTCAGCAGGGTCAAAGTTCTTGATCAGGAATTTGACTAAATTCTGTTCCTCCAGACTGTGGATTGACACCAGGTTGGCTCCCTCTCCGACACAGTGGATCTCTGCATCAGCCCAGGTCAAGTCTGTGGCAACATACTTGTAGCCATAGGAAAACTGACACCAGAGGAAAGAGAAGAGCGTCATCTCACCCACTTGCTCTTCTG